GAAATAAAAAGCTTCTGCACAGCAAACAATCAACAAAACTAAAAGGCAGCCTACGGAATGAGAGAAGATACTTGCAAATGACATATCCGACAAAGGGTTAGTATACAAAATATATAAAGAACTCCTACAACTCAACACCCAAAAACCAAATAATCCAATTAAAACTGGGCAGAAGACACGTGAACAGACATTTCTCTAAAGACATCCAATGGCCAACAGACACATGAAAAGGTGCTCAACATCATTCATCAGGGAAATACAAATCAAAACCATGATGAGATTATCACTTCACACCTGTCAGAATGGCTAAAATTAACAACACAACAAACAGGTGTTGGTGAGGATGTGGAGAAAAAGGAACCCTCTTGCACTGTTGATGGGAATGCAAACTAGTGCAGCCACTGTGGAAAACAGTATGGAGGTTCCCCAAAAAATTAAAAATAGAATTACCCTATAACCCAGTAATCAATCACACTACTGGGTATTTACCCAAAAAAAACAGAAAAAAAATACTATTTCAGGGACGCCTCGGTGGCTCTGTCAGTTAAACCAGGCTAAACCAGCAATTTCCAAAGTGCACATCAAGAAGGCCCCTCAAGAGCCCCTCAAGAGCCTCCAACCAAAACAGCCCTGCTTTTGATTTGTACTTTTTAAATGAGTAAGATTTCACTTAAAGAAAGGGTTCTTTGGCTGAAACAAACTAGAAAATTAGACTCATCAAATTTATTTCACAGTGCTACCACGAAATAAAAAACTTTAGGGACATGCACTCCCACCATATGTATACTTACTAACAACTTACATACACCAATATGCTTATGCACATTTTGAAACAAGAACAGACTGTAAAGGCACCTGGGTAGTGCAGTTGGTTAAGCATTCAACTACTGGTTTCTGCTCAAGTTGTGATATCAGGGTCATGTGATACCAGGGTCATGAGATTGAGCCCTGCGTTTGAGCTCTGCATTCAGCATGGGGTCTACTTAAGACACTCTCTCAAACGGGGGAAATCGGAGGGGTGGACGAACCATGAGAGACGATGGACTCTGAAAAACAAACGAGGGTTCTAGAGGGGAGGGAGGTGGGAGGATGGGTT